CTAAGAAAATATATGACATGAAAACATGTTTCAACAGTTCTTCTGTCATTTTCAGTTTTGATTTATACAAAGGACAAATTTCAATTTAAAATGTACAACAAAATGCTGATTGGACAAAACATACAATAGAAACAGAATAATGTATGCAATTACAAGGAAAGTTTCAAATTAACATGGTAAAGTTGATGATTAAGTGTAAGTTGCTCCCATTGAATGTGAATAGCCTCTTTGAATTTAAGTAGAAGAATATTCACAGCACGAGCTCGCAGAAAATAAAGATGACGGGAAGAAGATGTGATGCGCCGAAGAAAGAGCTGAGAAAACTTTGAAGTCTGCTTCCACCAGAAAGACGGCTAGGTGAGTTTCCTCAGTTTTCTGCCCCTCGAGTCCACGTTTTACTCCGCCGAGCCATAGAGCTTCTCCTGGGTTCTTGGCCAGCGTGATCGTCAATACTTTTTTAGTCGCTCTGCCGCTGATCGCCCGTCAAGACCGGGAAATTGCTTCGCTTGCGGCAGATTTGGTCATTGGCGTCCAGATGCAACCAGGTCGCTCCTTCTGGATCTAGAGGTAATCTTGGTGGTAGATGAAGAATTAATTCGTTGACGAGCAAACATTGATTATTTGACATTTCTGCTATAAACCCTTTGTGTGATTTGGACGATCTTTTATGTCAAGGCCTTGTTCAAGTTTCCGAAAACTATGAACTTGAACCGCCAGGTGTTAGTGGTAACTATGACTGAAGATCCACAAGTTTCTGTACAAGGGAAGCTGAAGAGCCGTGGTTTATTTCTAAGGCTCTTGCGAGTAAATATTCGCTCCTCCTAATATTGTCACTAAGTTGAGTGTTTCCGTTCAAGCTAACAGTATAAAAAGAGACTTACCTTAGATTTGAGGCATATTGATTTGCATATACTGGAACAGAGTTTAAGTGTCAGGGGTTGCTTACAAACAAGAGTGCCTTGTCCAACAATTATTATCCTTTGTCTTTTTATTTGAAAGCAGGCTATCACAATTTTGATATTTTTTTCGATCTATCACAAATATTTGGCTAGATATATTTCCCTGTAATTTTGGCACAGGTTATGTCAGATATTTTCATTTCACGGTTCTACCTTTGGGCTTTCTGGTACACCTTTTATTTTCACAGAGCTTCTTAATCCTCTGGGAACCCATTTGAGGGGACAAGGAATTCCAATCACTATGTTTTCCGATGACGGAATTGGAGCGGGTGAATCGTTGAATTCCGCTAAGATTAACAGTTCGATTGTTCGTGCGGGTGTTTCACGCTGTGGCTTCGAAATTAATAAAGAAAAGTCCAATTGGGTGGGCGCGAGAAAATTTTCTTGGATTGGCTGTAATATTGACAATCAAACGGGGCTCATTTCCGCAAGTGGAATGACAATGGAAAAACTATTATCTGACCCTGAGGCTTGCTCCGTTTTAGATGCGTCAGCGTCCATCCATGTAAAAAAGATTGCTTCTGTTGACGGTCAAATTTATTCGTGGTTACCGCGCAGTCGTAATTCTCACGCAAATTTTATTTTGAAAACTACATGTTAGAAATAACTTTTTTAAGCGATGAACTCCATTCATCACCAGAAATCAAGGACATTTCGAGCCCGCTAACAATTATCAGCGGTATATCGTATTACACTCCGGAACAATAGAATATAAAGAGAATTCAATATGCCGGCGATCACGGCTCGATCTGCAAAGAAGAGTGTTTCGTACCATGACTTATACAATTTGAGCACCGCAGATCTTCTATTTGGTGAAAAGAAAAAGAAAAGAAGACCTGCAAGTAAATCTTTGGGATTTTTCGAGGCAGAGCGATGACATGATGCCAGAATTTTGATTTGCTTTAATTTAATTTTTGCGCTAAGACTACTGAATTTGCATTCCATGAGCTTCTGATTGTTATATTTTAGAAATTTTACAAATTTCCATACAGTTTCTTATATTATTTGGACGCCATTATGGACGAAATGCGCAAGCGCGGCCGCCATCTTGTCCAATATTTCTGCCGATGCACAATTTATGGCTGGAGGATAAGATGCTGCATACCTCTCATTGCTAGACCGTCTGTGAATTTATTTGCACTTATTGATTCTTTTGTGGACTCATTTTCTTTCTAATGCCACGTACCTACTTATTTCCCCTCATGAATAACGGATTCCTACAAACAAACGAATGAAAAAAATTCCAAATAGAATATGAACAGGATTCAAAGATTGTAAAGTTCATGGCATACAGGGAGAAAAATATGCTGAA